TGCCACGGTACAAAAGATGAGTTTTGCTTACCTTTTTTCCCTTGCAGTACTGATCTCTGGCGTTTTTCAATGATGAATGATCAGGCCATGTGATTGCTCTGTGAGAGAGCACTGGGCCTACTCCCTCAAGAGTGGATGGAGCACAGGGCAAGACCAACCTAAATCTTGGGACTGTTCAACGTCACTACACAATTCTTCCTAGAACTAGTTAACCAGATGTCAAATGTTTATACTGTTAACTGTTTTGCTGTTTATACTCGTATAGTTTTAAAGGGTAAATCCAGATAGGGGGTACTACACCTACAAGGACCAGAGGAGGGAAGGTTAGGTAAAGGCAAGGAAAATGGAAGTACGTTAGAGGCAACAGACCACTTTAGGAATAGAAAAGGCTCACCTTCCTACTCATGGTAGTACAAGACATGAAACAGCACAATACAAAAAGGGGGGCAGGGGGAAGGGAGGGAAAGACAAAGAAAAAATTATATACAAAAAAAAGGGAAAAAAGAAAACAATTTAATACAAAAATAATATATATTAAAGCAAATAACCACAAAATACATATTTTCCTACTTTACAGGGAGGGTACTGGCGGGAACAAAGGAAAGATGTTGACAAGTGTACTGAGGATCAGTTACCTATAGTGATGTCGCGAACCCGAAATGTTCGGTTCGCGAACGTCGAACGCGAACTTCCGCAAATGTTCGCAAACTGGCGAACCGCGCGAACCGCCATAGACTTCAATGGGCAGGGGAATTTTAAAACACACAGGGACTCTTTCTGGCCACAATAGGGATGGAAAAGTTGTTTCAAGGGGACTAACACCTGGACTGTGGCATGCCGGAGGGGGATCCATGGCAAAACTCCCATGGAAAATTACACAGTTGATACAGAGTCTGGTTTTTAATCCATAAAGGGCAGAAATCACCTAACATTCCTAAATCACAATCAATATGGATTGACACCTGACATATGACATATTGACACCTTGACATATGGATTGACACCTGTCCTCAGAGCCCCTGATGCACACGGACACAGAGCAGAATAGAGACTGGTCCCCCTACATAGGGTCACTTAGCAGATATGGATTGACACCTGTCCTAAGGATCCCTGATACACACTGACACAGAGCAGAATAGGGACTGTTCCCCCTACATCGGGTCACTTGGCAGATATGGATTGACACCTGTCCTAAGGTTCCCTAATACACACTGACACAGAGCAGAATAGGGACTGTTCCTCCTACATATGGTCACTTGGCAGATATGGATTGACACCTGTCCTCAGAGCCCCTGATACACACTGACACAGATCAGAATAGGGAATGTTACCCCAACATCGGGTCACTTGGCAGATGTGGATTGACACCTGTCCTAAGGATCCCTGATACACACTGACACAGAGCAGAATAGGGAATGTTACCCCAACATCGGGTCACTTGGCAGATATGGATTGACACCTGTCCTAAGGATCCCTGATACACACTGATACGCACCTACTTGGATGGTATAGACATTTTTAGCAGCTCCTGGCCCGAACACCTGACCCACATAGGAGCAGTAATAGACCGGATTAGGGAGTCCGGACTGACCCTAAAGCCCAGTAAGTGCCATATAGGAACGTGTAAAAACCTCCCCAAGATAGTAGTATGGGCCCAGAGTGTGAACAGGCCTTCCAACAGCTCAAGACGGCGCTCGTTAAATCACCTGTACTTTCTGCTCCTGATCCAACTAAACACTTTCTCGTCCATACAGACGCTTCTATGTTTGGATTGGGAGCAGTACTGAGCCAAGTCGGAGCAGATGGTGGCGAGCAACCCGGGGCTTATCTAAGCGTAAACTTTTGCACAGCAGTATATTCACTTGCCATTGAAAGGTGCATGGCGGTGGTGTGGGCTTACTCAAAAGCTGCAACCTACTTGTAGCGGACAACCGTTTACCTTACTCACAGATCACAACAAATTTGGGGCACTGCGTGCAATCTAATGTGCCACTGAATAGGAGATGGTGTGTTTAGTACTATTGTTATCAGTTTAATCACTGTTCGTCCCCCTATCCATTGATGTGGAACAGAACTTTAGCAGCAGAGAAGGATCAGCCGAGGAGGTTATGGAGAGGATGGAGTAGGAGGGCTAGAGGAGAATTGTGGCGTACTGGCAGAGTACTGCAGCTGTAGGGCTGAGCACACCTGCTTGAAGAGAACTTCAACTGCTATTCAATCCTATAGTGTGTTTGTTTCACAGGCAGAAAGTGCCTAAAACATGGCGGCTTGAACCTAGTTGGTGGCCCGGA